ATATTGCCTCGTTATCATGCCTCCCGTCGTATCTCGCTCTCGTGTTCTGTGCATACGTCACAGGTGAGTTTAGTGCTACGCCCTTCGGAGGATTCATACGAAAAATCAGACTGGCATTCCCATTTCTTAAATGTCGTAATTAGTAGACCTTTGTGTTTTTTTCGCCGCCATCTCAAACTGTCATCCGCGCGATTCCTCAGTTTGCGGACTAAAATAGCAACCCGCATGCGCACATAACGTTATCTGTTCCGCCCCGCCAACACTGAAAACAAAACAAAACCAAAGTAAATTAGAAGAACCACACCACAAACACGCATACAGGCACAGTGAAATCGCGTACAGTCAACTCGTGTGCGGTGACTTTAATGGGAAACCATTTTTCGGTTCCGTCAAAATGACGCCACGGAAACGACAAGCTACCGGTAACAATCGTTACCGTGAAATCCTCAGGCCTGCCGACGTTTTTTTTTTTTTTTTTGTTTGTTTGTTTTCACTGAGAAATTTCCTTGCGTCCCAAAAACGCACATTATTTGGATCTGTGCGTCCCGCGGGAAAAATTATGCGTCTAGGACGCGGGACGCAGAGGTAACGAGATGGTTGGGATAGATAGATAGATAGATAGATAACATTTTCTAAACAGTTTTAAGGCTGTATTTTTTTTCAAATAAAATATTCAGTTTTGATATTTCAGAATGTTGTGGCTTGAAAATGGTTCGAGATAAAGGCATGTAAATATTGCTTGGTGCATTTTTGCTGTTTTTCCGCTTAATTAAAGGCTTAAATTAGGTTCTTTTAAGTTTTGTAGTGTGGTCCTTGACCCGCTTGGTGGCGCTCTCGTTAATGTAGTGGACGTTGAAACACGTGCGAGTTGAAAGCTAGTCATGCACTGCTGTGTTAAAGGTGAATTGTAACACACAAACCAAATGTGCAAAAATCTTTATTCAGACATTGCTACCTTTTGTATTTGAAAGCAATGACTCTCAACCGAAATTTACATTGAATACAATTGTAAACATTGCTGATAGATGAAAGGAAAGATTTTCTAAATTGATGAGTGTCACACTCGTCCAAGTGTTCTGCGGGATGTTTAATAAAACCTTGACCACAAGAATCCTTTGCAGTTCGATCACAGCATGGTTTTGTCTCCAACACTGTAAGGGTTCACGTCAACAATTATAAACTGGCCGTTTTGGGTCATCACATGTAGTCTTCTCTATTTCAGTCATTACAATTGGTTACATCAAATGTGGAAAGTAAAATAAAATGTTTAAAGTTATCAACTATACCGACAACATGATGTTGCAGAATTACTCTGAATATGCAAAAAAATTCTGGACAACTCACAAAAATTATACACGTGAATGCATTTTATTTTACAGTGTCTGTTCTGCAGGCTAATTGATTGTCATTCCAGTGCTCCTGCCCCCCCCCCCCCCCCCCCATCCCTCACCCCATACTGTCGGTTGCTCACTTGTGACAATGACACCTAAAAAAGCAACAAATCGACGATCCACTTTGATGTCACACTCCTGCCAAGAAAAAGGTCAAAATAATAAATGGTAGCCTCAGGTGATGGTTTGGGAGAGGGGGAGGCGGCATGCAGCGGGGCTTGAGATTTCTGGCCGAGTGCTTTCCTAAAGGCCGAATAAATTCCCATAGCCAAGTATGGCCAAATAGGGAAAGAGCATGGAGCCATCGTCTCCCTGAAAATGTTGAGCTCAATCAAGCTTGAGCTGATGAGCCTGTTCTGTCAGTCCATTCCCTCTCTTGAACAAATGTGTGCCACACGTACTCGTAGCTCCTTTCTCTCTTCTGCTGACGTACATCTTCACATGCTTAAGCTCCCCCTTGCAGTCTTCCAATGAGTCGATCCAGATCACCGTGCATCCCCAAAAAAAAACCCCAAAAAACTTTCAGTGCACCGTCTCTGGCAGCATGTCACTGATATAAAATTGTTTGAAGATTCCGCAGGTCACAGAGGTCACATGATATCTGTTCCTAGGTCAAAGGCAAGTATGAGGATGAGTGCTCCTGGATTACTAGCCTTTGACCCTCTGTCCAACTTTAAAGGAGTTTTCTTTTAAATTACCACCACTAACTTGACATTACTCATGATTTCCCAAACCTCGGTGGAAAAGATCAAAGAGTCTGCTTAGCCACAATTAAGAAAAAAAGGACGATTCTCAGAGACATTGTCAGCACAATAAAACCATCACAAAGTACAATATGCAGTACTACGGGTTCCACAGATAAAAATGTACATAATGAACCATATATAACTGGCATAGTCACAATAAACTGAAGGTGCATTCAATCTACCACCGTACAGTACTTACTGGTTTTAATTTTATTGTTTAATATTTATGGCTGAAAAATATATACTGTACATATTTATACAGTAATTATATGTTTGTATTATTTCACACACAGCACTGTAAGAATACGTCGTAATGCTCATTGTGCTTTTTCATTTGGTTGTCAGATGTTTTCTGGCTTATGACTTCAGGTCACATCGGTTAATGATGAACAATGACATCTGACAAATTTGGGTCACAGAATTTTCATCACTGCCGAAATAGATTGCTGTCGTATACTGAGGTTCATGTCTAGTAAGATATTTAAGTCAGATTTACACATTTATGAGCCAAATCGAGTGTTGTAGTTACAATTAAATTAGCAGCCAGACATTAAAATGACAGAACCGGAAACCACGTCGCAAGTTTTGACCAGATATTTGGCCGCATGTACATATTGTAGTCATAGAAAATAGCAGCCGACTTAACATTGTATTTCTGGAATTAAGAAAAGAAGCGAACATTAATGCTGTTCTTAATTGAAAACTGTTGCAATTGAGTATGTGTCACTGATTGGGGCAGTGGCACCCTCATCTGATTTTGAGATTGAGATATCCTTTATTTGTCCCACACTGGGGAAATTTACATTTTGGTGCAGGCAGCATCGATTCAATAACTGCTCAGTGATAGTCTGAATGGCTGCCTCTCTCTGTATGTGCCCTGCGATTCCCTGGCGACCAATCCAGTGCGTGGTCTGCCTTTTGTCAGCTGGTATAGGTTCCAGCTCCCCCGTGTCCCTTTGTTTCGAATGTACAGCAAATGGGGGTATGGTTATTTGGAGTACTGTAGTTTTCCTGCTATGAGTGTTTGGTGCCCCACCATTTTTTTCTCATATCCAAGCACATGTCAAGAACAACTTGAAAAGACAAATAAATGTTGAACTCCACGAATATCAATTTATAACCTTTTTGGCCTGGACTACCGGTATGTGTCAATTCATTCTTAAGTAATTTTTTCTTGTTGAGTATTGTTTGAATGTGATCCAAAAAAATAGTTCTACTTTAGTTTTTATACTCAGTTTGTGTCTTCTTTTTTCATGACACAAACCGTGATGATGTGTGATTGTGTTATTTGATCATCATGAACGAAATTACTGCTCTTCCAAACATCAGCATGTGTTTACCTTGCAATTGTCACCAAATCCGAAGGCTTTTCAGACCAAATCTATGAATGCTGCTCATATTTTAATTAAAAAAAAAGTGTACTATTATTCCATTACTGACTTTCCTTAAGATGAGTCTCAAGGCTGAGTTCATATTCAACTGCCGGAAGCTGCCGCAAGCTTGGTGTCATGCGCAGTGCGCTCACAACCCATCACCACGGCAACCATCTTTCGCAGCCAAGTCCCCGGCAGCATCAGTGGCGTGCGATCACCTCCGCTTTGGCCACAGAGCAGAGACATCCGCAGTAAGTTCATTCTCTCTCTTCTGTGTTTTGTGGATGAAAATCAGATGCTGAAATATTACAGCTCTGCTTGCTACAATCTTGTTGGAAAAGAATGTTTTCATTTGATCTTTATTGATTAGTGCAGGCCAGAAATCATTTATCTTGTCGATGACACACTGGACCTTTATTGGTACTGACTGTCTTTTTTTTTTTTTTTTTTTACGGTGCTGGCTGCAATTAGATTGCGATCCCACCACAGGAGCTACATTATCACATCATACAGAAGGAAATTAAAACACACAAGCGCCTTTCAATGTTTGTCAGTCTAACACATCCTGTGGATTTGCTGTTGCATTGAGGCTCTTTTGACTGCACCTCTTTTGTTTGGTCATGAAGCTTCAATGTGGCAAAATCGCATTTGCATGGGCAGTCAAACTAAACTTGAGGCATACAAAACACAATTCACATTAAGGGTGTGATTTTGACAACATTTCCTTTCGCCAATATGGGGGCAAACTATCAGTCACATAATCAGTTAATTGTTTTTTAAACTCCGGTTTGTGTTGAGCTCAAAACAGGAATGATGTCTGAAGGATTTTCCGTAAAATGGATTTACAGTGTTCTCCCTGCTGTATCCCGGGTTCATTATTCCTGCCGCCACTTTTTGGGAAAGGTATTTTGTCAGTAACAGATATTTACAACTTGTGATTATTTTAAATGACTTTTTACATGATACTGTACTTATTGTTGCGCGGCACGGTGCACGACTGGTGAGCACGTCCGCCTTACAGTGCAGAGGGGCAGGGTTCGATTCTGGCTCCGGCTTTCCTGTGTGCAGTTGGCATGTTCTCCCCCGTGCCTGCGTGGGTTTTCTTCGGGTACTCTAGTTTCCTCCCATATTCTGAAAAACATGGATGGCAGGTGAATGGAACACTCCAGCACGCACGCGACTCTCATGATTAGATTAGAAAAGGGATGGATGTACTTATTGTAAAACCCTCACGTCATAAATAAGAGCCCATAAATCATACATATTCTTCAAACGGAATTTAATATTTGCAGCTCTTCTATTTGGCAGATACGTTGTCAGCTCTTCAGTGGTTGCTCCAGGCTCGCAGGTTTTTTCGGTCATCACAAATGCTAATCAGGATGATTCATCGCTCTCACACTTTCCTCCACCACCCACCCACACAATGAGAACATTGGATGTACTTGAGTAATGGACTCCCTGAGCTGCTGCCACCTCCATGTGATTTGATTTTGTATCCGAAGATGGATTTGACCGACTAAACGCATTGCGACTCAAGCCACTGATTTATTTGTGAGCCCCTTTCAGACCAAACTCGCCAACGTGGGCCGCCGATGTGTCCAAAGTGCACATTCACACTGCCATGACTGCTGAGACGATGCATCACTCCGGTGGCGTGTCATTAGTGAGTCAGCGCAGCAGTGGGCCAGTGGGCTCTAGATCGTTAGATTGCGCGAATAACCTGGGAATGACTCATTACCCCTTCCTGTCACATTTGGATGATCACTTGCTCAAAGCGAGAGAAATTGACATGGTATCAACGAGAACCATATTAAACAGAGAAGACAGCGCATGGAATGACACTGGCAGATGAGGCAAAGCTTTTTTTTTTTAACTTTGTAACGATTATGTAATTGACAGGATTAGCTTTTCACACATCCTAATGCATGTATGGTACTATGGCCCAAATGTATTGTACAGTGTATTTTTTTTATTCTTGCAGCACACCTTTACTGCAATTATGTTTTTGTTTCTTGCAGAGATGTGATTGGGTTAGCCAAAATATCTCAGCTGACGTTGAACTGAAAACGTCTCTTTTACTTCTTAGTGGAGGTTGAAATTGTCTCGATGAGCACCCATTCATGTTAGCAGATACACCTCACTTGTTAATCAAAAACATTTGATGGGTTATTGGGCAAGCGAGACGGTTTTGCCTTGGTTTCTGTAAATAACAGCTGTAGTCTCAATTTGATTGAACATTTCATTTATTCAATTTGAGCCATTTTTTTCCCAACTGGTTTGCCTTCCAACATTTCTAAAATTGATGACTTACTAAAAAGTTCTTAAAGCATAATGTGTGCCGAACATAGAATGTTTGGCCCCCTCAGCCCCTTAATCTGGCCCAATGAATATTTTTTTTTTGTTTGTTTGTTTGTTTATTGAACATATATAAAACATACAGTAACATGACAAAATGCAAACAAAAATTATGAAAGGAAAATAAAAGTAAAAGTAAGTAATACAAACATCATCACAGTTATATGTTCAGCATCCTGTGGCTGCACAAATTTAGCCTTTTTTTTTTTTTTTTTTTTTTTTTTATAAAAACTGGTTACGATATACACAGTATATACGGTATTTATGTATGTATACACATGTTGTCCTTTTGGGCGAGAGTGCATTTTGTCTGGGTACCCCAGTTTATGCCCATGAAAACAGGCATGTTAGGCTCATTGAAGACTCAAAAGTTGTCCATTGGTATGAGCGTGAATAGTTATTTGTGAATATGTGGCCTGCGCTTGGCTGGTGACCAGTTACAGCAAATTTTAAAAAATGACCACATTTTATTCTCGTCATGTTAACTTTGATAAAGCTGATATTGTGCCCATCCCAAGTTTCTATATGTTGGTGTTTCTCCTTTTCATCAAGGACATCTTACCTAAGTCTTCATAAGTCTGAGTTGCCTCTCCCGCCTGCAACAGTGCAGACATGGTGAAGCTGGGCACCAATCTGGCTGATAAAATGGAGAAGCAGCCGTCTGCAGACGACGGCTTTGATATCATCCCCCTCATCACGCCCCTCGAGGTCAGCCAGCTCCAGCAGTCTTTTGCAGACAAGGTAAATCCGGCCTTGCTTTTCTCTCCTGATAACGTTGCAAAACGAACACAATATGCTGTTCATTGCAACATTGCAGATGGAGTGATCAGATTGCATTTTGCTGCTACTTTCGCATCACACTTACTCTTCAATGACAAAATAGTTTACCTTTAGGAGGCAAATACAGATTATTTTCACTGCATGTTTTTTCCCACCTCAGGTTATTGTGAAGACAACGACTCATTACCAACTGCAGCAACAGCAGAAGAAGAAGGACAAGTTGTTCATCCCCAGCATTGAGAAGCTAAACATCAACTTTTACAAAGATGTCTCCGACAGAGCCAAGGTACACTAGTTTGGAGAGATTATATAACATGCTATAGTTTTTCAAAACACAGTTTACAAGGAACAAGAAAACAAGGTATACTTGTATACTGTATTTGGATTTTGTGGCTCCTGATATTTTTTTTTTCTGTGGAAAGATGGTCTAATTGACTTTTTGGGTATTTTACGTTGCTCATTGTCATGCGAGACTTTATTTAGATACTTTCAAATTGCACAAAAGATTGCAGTTGTCCAAAAAGTTACAGGTATGAATATTTTCCTAAAATAATTCTCAAATATATATATTAAGAGTGTGTCTGCATGTGTTCTTCAGATCACAGGCCTGATCCTCATCATGTTGGCCTTTCTAACCAGCCTCCTCCTCCTGCTCATGTACAAAGCCATGTGGTATGACCGTCTTACCTGCCCACAGGGTTTCATCCTTCAGGTACAGAACACACACACACACACACACACACACACACACACACACACACACACACACACACACACACACAGAGGAGTACCTTATTAAGTCATTCTGTGCAAAGTGGACTTTATACTAGTGTAAGACAGAACGTGGCTCATCCGGCACAGTGTTTAACACCCTCACATCCGTCACTTGAGAATTTTCTCGACATTGGAGCAGGAAAGTCATTATCTCCCTAACGACACCTCGGGGCCATTGTGGCAGGCCGGTTCGTTCAAGAACCTCTCTCGCAGGAGGAAACAAGAGAGGAAGGGACAGATCTTGTTTTTTTTTTGGTCAGGCAGTGGTCGGGATGTCCGCCTGTGAATCGGCAGGGTCTTTAATTAGGGCTGAGCGTGACTAAACTGTGATTAAAGGCTTAGTTACGAGGGGACAGCAGGGAAGAAGGAATGGGGAACCTTTGAAGTTTTTTGTCGGCTACAGTTGCATTTTTCCCCAGCTAATGCGTCGCTCGACACGTGAAGACGAGTGAGTGTGGATGATACTTTGAAGATGTTTCTGGCCCAACTGTTAGGATCAGAAAGAGAAGATAATTCCAACATCTTTGCTGTGGGTTGAGAGCAAGGTTTTTACAGTTCACAAAAACAAACGAGATAATTGAAACTAAAAAAAAAAAACAACAAAAAAAAACATTCCAACGAAAAAAAATTTAGAATAAAAAAAGAGATGACCAACATTTTCCGTTTGTAAAATAAAGTATGATTTTTACGGAAATATCCTTCATCTTTGTCTTAGTCAATTACTTTCATACATGAGCTTTCAGAGTTGATTTTAAATGTATTTATGTTAGTATCGCTGTACGGCTAGTATGGCAAATTGAAGGTTGAACAGTCGTTTGGGAATCAGCTTTATGCGCCTCCGACTTGCACATCCAGCAAAATGTGCCAAAGCACTTCCTTCTCCACCCGCGTGAATGGCGAAGGAGACTATGAGCTCTTTATTTAGCACAACATGTCACCGCAGAGCCACCAAAGGTGATGTTTAGGCTTCATTCGTGTTTACATATATCATATCCTTTTCTCAATACACGATATACTGTACTTGAATGGTCCCTCTCAGCTGTGCATGTGAGCAACTGCGCACTGCTCTCAACCTCTCTTATGTGGCCTGCGCTTGGTCTCTTTTGGTGCTAAGCCAAGGTAAAAATGAGCCTAGTTGCTTATGCTTGAAGGTCGAACACAATCTATTTCAGGATGCCGGTCAAGTGCCAACTTGTTTTGGTTTTCTTACAATTTTTCCTGGAAACAATGGAAATAGAACATCTATAACATGGTCCCTTTTGATTTTGATCAAAAAGCATGGAACTGGATGACATTTGCGATTGGAACTTTTGTATAACATTAGGACATCAAAAGTTGCGTAATGAGACTCTGTAAAAAGAAGTAAGCCCCTTGAAAAAGGAAAACACAGCAAAGATAAGGTTCCAGCATGGGCGTCGTTCACACTGTTGTTTCTGCGGGAACAGCAAAGGCACTGCACTCCGGCCGCCCTGGGCATGTTCTCCAGCGAGCAGCAGAATCCCACAGACATCCAAGGCAGCACCAACTCTGGACTGTATGCCGCCCTCAGCCGCCTCAACCAAGTCAAGAGGGCAGGGCCCGAGATGCCGTCGCCATGGTTGCCGGTCATCAGAACACTGAAAAAGATCGGTGCCGTCAAACATGACAGCCAGACAGTCAAAGGTGAACTGGAGGGAGAGGAATGAATATTTGTGTGCTTGTTTTTTTTTTGTGTGTGTGTGTGTGTGTGTGTGTGTGTGTGTGTGTGTGTGTGTGTGTGTGTGTGTGTGTGTGTGTGTGTGTTCGAGGTTGTGGTCAGAGGCAAGAATGTTATGACAATGTTGGAAAATTCCACTTACAGTTTCACTGAGTTGTGATTTAACTCCGTGTACACCACATGAATTCACTACCTATCCGAATTTGTGGCGTATGTTGTCACGGTGGAATATCGAAGGTGACACATTTTATTCACTTTTGCCTCATCATTTGCTGTCGGGATGGGATTTTTTTAGAAAATATGCTATCATTATGAATCTTACCCTGAATAAGAAATGTGTGCGTGTCAGAACTGACTGTTATGGCCCATGCAAGAAGAATTGTCATTTTATCCATCGTATGTAAGTAAATAACCTAAAAGAATGTCTTATGATTTTTGAATATGAATGTATCTGATGTAGCTACTTTTGTCTGCACAAGCCTAACATGTACACAAGTAATTGTACATTCGTTTGGAATGTTGACGCCAGTTTAAAAATATACTTCTGGTGTTGTAATGTGTCATTATCGTCACCCTTTTCGAAATTCCTCTTTATTTCAAATGCCGATGAAATTATGTTTTTGAACATGTCTGTTTGTGCGTGAGCGTGCGTGTAGGAGTGTGAGATCACAGCACAGCTTGTCCTTACATCACACCAATCTACCCGAATCTCATTGCATGGACATAAATTAAAAAAAAAATGTTGATTTCTTTCATTCATAAGTCTTCTTTATCTGTGTTCCTCTGAAATGATTCAAGGTAGAGCTTGAAACTTCTTTGTGCTTCAGTTCTGGAGGTTAGCAGTTCTAAAACTAGACATATATTGTTGGCCCTCTTTCATTAAAAAAAAAAAAAAAACAAAAAAACAATGGTTCTGGAATTAAATTGAAACTACTTTTTCTTTATCCCGTCTCATGAAGAGTTACAGAAATGACTTCATTGCAGAGGTTGTACAACCAAATATTAAGTTTGGCGTACTTTCGTTTTTGCCCAGGGGAGTTTTGTTATTTTTGTTGCTGTTGGTTTGTTTGAAAAGTTTTGCTGATTGATTGTCAAAATACTTCTATTCACTTGTACTTATTCAAGTTTCAAGTTGTTTTTGTGGCTACACTTGAATTAAAAAAAAAATGTTGATTTCTTTCATTCATAAGTCTTCTTTATCTGTGTTCCTCTGAAATGATTCAAGGTAGAGCTTGAAACTTCTTTGTGCTTCAGTTCTGGAGGTTAGCAGTTCTAAAACTAGACATATATTGTTGGCCCTCTTTCATTAAAAAAAAAAAAAAAACAAAAAAACAATGGTTCTGGAATTAAATTGAAACTACTTTTTCTTTATCCCGTCTCATGAAGAGTTACAGAAATGACTTCATTGCAGAGGTTGTACAACCAAATATTAAGTTTGGCGTACTTTCGTTTTTGCCCAGGGGAGTTTTGTTATTTTTGTTGCTGTTGGTTTGTTTGAAAAGTTTTGCTGATTGATTGTCAAAATACTTCTATTCACTTGTACTTATTCAAGTTTCAAGTTGTTTTCGTGGCTACACTTGTTTTTTTTTTCTTTAACAATATAGAACCAACAATTTTATCCATGTGTACAATAAATATTCATCTGCATCTCATTTGCTCTCACAAATTTTCCCACAAGTGCTCGGAATCAGTAATTCAGGGTTCTGAGTGTGTGTGGCCATTGTAAACTAATTTAAAACTTCGCTCTGGACGTCACGTGACTCATCCCTGCATGCGTTTGTTTACGCGGTCATGCTGGTAGCATGGTAGCAGTGGCTCCTATGAGGAAAAGACACTATCACCTCCACAAAATCAAAAATACTGTGGTGATCATTTTTGTATTTGTACAAGGAGAAGTGGACAAGGGTAGGATTGTGGATATAGTTTTCAGCCATGTAGCAATGCTAAAGTTTTGTTATAGCTCCATGAGCAGGCAGGCAGACAGCCATGGCTGTTACCGCCCAACAGCTCCCGTGGCTTGTCGAGGCAGAATTGGCTGTTGACGGCACAACAGATAAGGTTAGCAGAACAAGATTACTTTCTTACCAGGCATACACCCGCCATCTAGGTAGTCAAGAAGCGCTGGGTCCGCTGCCGGCCACATTCACTACCACCACCAGAAAAAACGTGTTTGCAGATGATATTGAGAATGTTGGGGCACCCTCTCAGGGATCTCCCCATCATGGTTGCATGCTATCATGCAGCAGTAGCGGGGCAAATGCTAATTCTGTCCAGCCCGAGATGCAGCGGCTGCATCAATTTCGGATAAGTAGCTGCGAGACAAGCTCCGGAGGTCAGCTTGTCGAAATTTCAAAGTTGGATTTTGTGCACCGGACTTCCAGCGATGAGGCCAAGGCCTTCAGACGAGTGTGGCCATTTGAAGCATCTCATTTTCAGATAGGCAGTGAAGACAGTACCCTTTAGATGTGGATTTTGGGAAAAAGTGAAATTAACCCGGACAGATTTCAATTTAATTTATCACGACCTATTCAGTACAATTCAGTGAATGAAAAGTCTCTCGGAATGCATTGTGTTTGAGTGTCTTGGTTACTTGTGAAAAAAACAGACCTGACAGAAACTGTGCTGAAGATGCACGTAGGCTGCTCAGTTCTTGCTCTTTTAAGTCACCCATGGAAAGGCAAGGTTGAAGTGCGCCCAAGTGGAGATGTCCTCATACGTTTTGGAGCCGCCGGTCATTTTCACCCGAGAGAGAGAGAGAGAGAGAGAGAGAGAGAGAGATCTATATATATATATATATATATATATATATAATTTACCTGGCAACAGTTGAATAAGGGGAGTACCGGCACTTATTTCTTTCCACTTAAAGCACTGAGAAAAAGCTAAAAGTCAGTCTGGCCTGAAAAGGGTAGTTGTTGTCAGGCAATAGGAAGCTAAATCAGAGCTGACCCCGGTGTCTGTATGTGTTGTTGTGTGTCTCAGTGGGTTTCCTCTGCGCTGGCGCCAGCTGGAAATGCCTCCACGAAGCAGAGGCAGTACACACATCATCCTCCATTCAGCTCTACTGGGGCCTCTTTGATGGGAGTAACATTAGACAAGCTGAGAGCACACACAACAGATCCTATCAAGCTGCTGTTTGAAGGGCGGGAGCCACTGATCATAACTTACCGAAGGTTCAGCCGAACTGGCTTTTGTTGCCCACTGAGCAAATAAAAGCTCGTGCTTTCATCACTGGACTGATGTTATTATTACAGTGGAGTATTCATGAGGTAGGCTGCCACCTAGGGGTCGTCTCCCATGGCTGCAGAGGCCCAATGGGGTGCCAGCCCTCTGTGTTTCGTCCAATAATGTCTATATCGTACCCTTGAATGTGCCTTATAGCTGATTGTGAGACATTGTATGCTTTCATCATTACTTTTAGATTGTTGTCTATACCACTGCTTGAGATTAGTCACAGGTTTGTCCTCAAGATGGCCCTTTGAAAAAAGACTCAGTAGCTATGAAATTCCTCATTAGTTTTGCATCACTCCAAAGCAGTTTGTCAAAACAACCAGATCTTCAGATTTTCAAAATGTGCGTCATTAATTGTAGACTAAATCCATTCATCCATCTTCCAAACCAAAGTCGTTTTACAAAATCAGCTTGGTAAATCAGATAAATGACAAATGAATGCTTTGACTTGATTTCTATTTTGCTGTCGCCAATTCTCGACTAAGCAGAGCTGAATTACCTTTTAGATGGACGTGATTGAGAGGAACAAAAGTCTGATATCTGACTCTGAGCAGAGTATAGCCAAAATTATCATCTAATTTACCCAAGAGTACATTTGTTTTGCAATCAATAGCCTGTAAATATTCACACACATCGTCAACATCCACATATTCGTGTACGGTTTCGATGACATACAAACATTATGCCACTTTCACGAAAAGGATGGCATTTCACTTTAAAATTTTCAAGTGTTTATGTTTATGTGTAGAAATATGTTTCAAATGATGATTAAGAGGGAATTACCACGGTAGCTAACGCCTATTATAAGACGATTACAAAATGTTACAGGTCAGTCATTTGTCATCCGTCAGCGGCCAGAATACCCGTCCATCAACGTCATTCCGTCATTTCTTCAAGCCAAACCAAACTGTAATCGTCAGTCTGTCAATCCATCACGTTATTTTAACCGCACTTCCGTCATCGCTTCTGTCGGTAAATTTCAGCAGTCCATTAGCTGATCTGCCAGGCGCCCAGTGCCAGATGTAGCAAAGCAGCCTCAGAACATTACAGACCCTCCTCCATGTTTCACAGTAGGGACAGTGTTCTTCTCTTGGTATGCTTCATTTTTTGCATCTATGTGCATAGAGCTGATGTGCCTTGCCAAAATCTTCAAATTTTTTCTCATCTCTTCATAAGACATTGCCCCTTAAGCTTTGTTGCTTGTCAACATCTAGTTTGCATGTTTTTTTTTTCTTTCAACAGAGGTGTCCTCCTTGGTCATACGGTGGCAAGTAGTGTGGCACAGGTGGAATCGATAAATGACGTCAAAAGGTAACAAACCGTCAGCAAAGTATCGTATTTTCCGCACTATATGGCGCTTCGCAGTATAAGATGCACCTTCAATGAATAGCCTATTTTAAAACTGTTTTCATATATTGGGCACACTGCATTATAAGGTGCATAGAATAAAAGCTACAATAGTGGCTGAGGTTACATTATATATCCACTAGATGGAGCTACGCTAAAGGAATACAATACCGCTTTATATAGCGCTTTCAAAACCACTGCAGCTGTAACAAAAGTGCCTTAAAAACATTTCAAATACTACATCCAAGAAATCAGAATATTGATCCGTGTATAAGGCATATCGGATTATAAGGCACACTGCTGGCTTTTGAGAAAATTGAATGCTTTTAGGTGCGCCTCATAGTGCGGAAAATACGGTAAACTGAAACTCATGCTAAAATCCAGCAGTTTTAACAGTTTTCACAGAACAGAGAGAATATATGTCTATGGTCATTTTGGGATGAGCAGGAACAGCTTTACACTATGCTCAGTGCAAAATGTATGAACAGTCAATGCAATTTTGGTATGTTAAGGAGAAGTGAAGGGTAGATCAGAACTTGTGGAGCCTTGGAAAATCCGCAAATAACACGCATATATGTTTAAACTGCAGGGGTAGTCCAAACTTCACCATACTCCAAAATCAGCCACTCACACTGTCTCGAAACGGCAGAATGCCTCTTTCCAGCTACTTTTTTCGCTTATCTCAATTGCATTCTGAAAAAGACATAAATTGAAAGCTTCCTTTTATTCATGTACAACTTGAGATAAAACAGAAATGTGATTGAGGAAGTACAAATGGTGAGAGCAGTGATTAAAGACAAACATCAAAAATCATTAATCCCATTAAACTCCAAGGAGCTCCTGAAGGGGCTGGGGGTGTGATATTCGGGGAATAAATTGGCTGCCAGTCGTCATTTCAATGCGACCTTTAGCTGTGATTTGTGTGAGGGGAGACAGGCATCATGAGAATATGCCTTTTCCAAGCGCAACAGCTTGCAACAATTTACGTTATATGGGGGGGAAACCGCTGAAACAAATATTTGAGCGGCTTCCATAATGAAATGGATATATTTACACACAGTGAATTGAGTCAAAGGCTGTGTAATGAATGCACAGCTTCTCCAAAGGAGCTTGCTGCCCTCTGTTGTAAACATTTTAGTGACGCTACGGGGGCTTGGGATCAAAGTTATTAGAGCTGTAATTCTCAGAGATACAAAGACAATCCACATGATGAAGACGAAGCCCCCAAGGGATTTGTATCAGTGACGCAAACACATTAAGAGATTCTGTTTGTTTTCGGTCTTAAAAAAAAAAACAATCACTGTTGTCAATAGTGTGACAACTGTTATTTTGTAGATACATTTGCAGAGCATGTTGACAATCGTACTTTTCTTCTGCTGCGTTGCTGGTCAGTCTTCCTCGTGTGTTTTGGGATGAGGGGGTGAACTTGAACTTGCAGTAAAACATAACATGAGTCATCTCAATAGATGTGTGCCTGTTTTGTAAATGACATGAGTTACAGATGATTGAAAGCGATCATCAGTGAATGTATTGGTGTCTTGTGGCTACGTCATGCGGCGTGCATGGAGCTTCAAGGCAACGCTCTTAATTAATATGTCACATCGAAAATATTTTAATGGCTTACAAATGGGGCTGAGTGCGCACTGCCCTGTGCCATTTATTTTCACCGAGGCTGAGACTTCCTGGCACGAGGCAGCGAATTCTTAGACATTTAAATTAGAAGGAGCCTTCTGATGCATGTGTGGGACTTCTGTGGTCTCCAAGCCCCTTGACTCCTTCTTTTAAAAAATTTGCCTTCTCTTAATCAGTACCAAATGTAGATCACCCCCTTTGCGTTCCCATCCTGGATGATAGAGGGAATTACCGGTACATGGGAAGGAAGTGTTTGTATTCAATGAGTACCCTTTCATCTAGCCACACTGTTAAAAAAAAAAGTTGGGTGAACTTAAAATTTAATGGCAACAAACTGATAACCTTTAAGTTGGGCAATTCAAATAAATATCTTAAGTTTTACTGTTGTAAAAAAAAATACAGCATCACTTTTTTGTGCTAACTACAATTGTTGCCATTAATGTCAGTAATTTATATTTTAAGGTTGCTCGAACTTAAATGACATTTAGTCATTAGTGCATTTTCTATCCTACATTAAGATAGCGGGTGAGCTGGAGTCTATCGCCACTGAATTTGCGCACGAGGCAGCTTATTCCCTGGACCGATCTTACACTTGGGCACAAAGAGACCAAAAAACTTTTTACACTCACATTCACACACCTGTGGAAAATTTGGAGTTTTTAATGGACCTACTATGACTGTGTTTTTTTTTTTATGTGGGAAGAAGCAGAACTGCAAACTCTACATAGGATTCAAACACCAAACCTCAGAGCTGGGGGGTTTAAATTTTTGTTTTTTACTGCCGAGTCACATCACACCCCATCCCCAACCTCAAATTCCAACTCTTACTGGTGCTTTCATGTGTCCCACTGAGCACTTATGGGGGATTGCTTATAATTAAGAGGTATTTGTTTTGGGGAGCCGCAGGGTACCACATTCTTTGTACACATGACACATTGTAGTCATTTTTCAGGCGACATGCAGAGTTGAGCAAACACGCTATGTCCTCAAAAAGAGTCCAGGTGATTATGATTTGGAGTTAAATGTAAGGCCGTATTTTTACCTCTAAAAAGTGCCATTTCACCATGTTGGGTGAAGAGCTCGAGCGGCCGTTATTGCGCTTTTTAATCCCATTTACACCTAACGTCCCAGTATAAAATTCGACGCTTTGTACAGCATGTGCTTGTGATTATTAATTCAAGTTTTACTCAATTTAGGCTAATAATAGAGAGAACTTGTAAAATGAAAAGCCCTCAATGCCAAGGCCTACAATTATAGTTAACTATGTGTTTGTTTTTCAATCCGTTTTTAATGTTCAGCTGATGCAACCACTTGGCGCGCACATTCTCTCGGCCTCTCAACTGACTTTCTCCAACTCGATGAAGAAAATCGTGCAGGCGGAATACCGAAGACGTTAAGTTGAAGGGCAGTGTCGCTCGCCACAAGCACACAAGCTCCACTTACTGACACTTTGTGAATTGCGGTTAGAAACCACTCGGGACGATGTTGCATTTATCGAGCTGTATTAATAAAATGAAACAAGAGGCACACTCAGAAGAGCGCACATACTGCTTATACTGTTGAATAATAACACCAAATAGTCTTTTCTGTTTTTATTGCTGAAATATTCATGTAATAATGAAAATAATGAAAGACTGCCCATCTATTTTCGATTGGGCTTGATCTTTTGTTGCTTATCCAAGGTGACTTTGGGCAAGAGTTGGCGTGCACCCAGGACTGGTCACGAGCCACTAACTGATAATCAAGCATGAATGAGACAAAAAGGAAATAAAGACAATCAGTGCACTTAAATGTCTGTTCCAGGAGACTGGCCAATAATTTGTTGGGATTTTAAGACAATTTCTTCAAAATAAAATATTGGAAAGGGAAATAATCTGTCCCGCAGGAAACTGCTGCCATTATAAAATCTTGATTTACGATCAATTTACTTATTATGCTATGACTTTCAGCTTTGTGTCAACAGGGATTACCACAGCAAACCATCAGCGTGATTCATTTGTCAGTGTTTCACACCAGATCCCCGCTTTAAAATAAGTCCCAGCTGACTTTGGGCAATGGGCAGTGTAGGCCGATAAACAATTATTTAACAAAATGTTACATGTAAGCTTTTGATTATATTATCAATGTCTTCATTGTATTTCATGATTTACAATCGATAAATTATTTAATCAGTGAATAAGAACTTTTAAAAAATGAGAAATTACATTTTACCCCTCACACCCACCCCACAAAAAAAAAAAATAGTATGAGTGTGTGCATGAGGCACGTGGGCAATATTTTGTTTTAGAGCACTTGGGTTTTAGTTTGACATAATTCTGGAGCCTGTTTCATGCTTGCATGTTTTGTTGTGACCTTCAGTGGTGTTGTGCTGTCTGCCGTGTCTCTTAATACTTGTATACTCATTTGGTTGAGTGAGTCAATAGCCGAGTCGTCAATTTAGCTTCGTGAGTGTTAATGTAACATGTAGTGTGCTGTGCCAGTTTCTGTCACACACACTCACTTTTCCTCTTCATGTAATTTGCTCAAAAAGCATCCACTTGACAGTGCAGCATCACTGGGCTTCACACGTGACGACATTCATAAACCTACACTGAGAAAAATGGTGTGTTGAATTCACAGTACTCCATTTTATTTCATCAAGTGGTTGCAAAAGATAAAAATCATTTGGATCCAGATGCATTTTTAAGTCGATGTATAGTCTACTTACAAATGCATCTGGATCCAGATGATTTTATTCCATGCAACCACTTGAAGTAAAATTCAGAAAATTCAACAAAAACTTTTTTTCAGTGTATATACAGTTAGAACAGAAGGTCACTTCTTCTCTCGTCATCGCCTCTGTTGTGCACTGAGGCTTATAATCAACACAAAAGACACTTTTCCACTAATACTGACACACACACACACACACACACACACACACACACACACACACACACATATCCATGGTTGTGTTGTGTACGTCTCATCTCCCCCCCACCTCTGCTCTCAGTCCACTATGAGCCATGCTCTGTAATGTGGAGCTGCGCGATGACAGGGCGATTGCCGATGGACAATGTGCCGTAATTTGTGAGGGGCCAGGCCCTGAGAGGAATGATGGGTAATTAAGAGGAAGACGCGGAGAGACACCATGGGGGCCACTGGTGTGTACTGACAAGCCAACAAACCCTCTCGTATAACAGGCGTGTACACACACACACACACATACACTTACACACACACACACACACACACACACGCACACACTTATTCATTTGATGTGGTAAGCATGCAATTGTATTGTACTGTATGTTGAAGATGTATGAACCAGAGGTGGACTTCGCCAGTCCGGTAAATCCTGTCAGTGAGCTGCCGTCAGTATTTCAGGCCAGCCCAGTCTGTCCAAGTTGTCAGCGACAGCCAAATGGCGTTGAGAACTCACTTTTTGTTCCTGATTGTAAAGTGTCCTTGGGTGTTTTGAAAGGCACTTATAAATAAAATGTATTATTATTATTATTACTTACCAGTACTAATTCACAGGCAGGTGACTGATACGCAGCCAAATTCAGAAAAAACAAAAAATAAAACATGCATAAAACAGGCCTTCATGTGTGGAGTTTGCATGTTCTCCCCCATACCTCCGTGGCTTTTCTGCGGGTACTCCGGCTTCCTGCCACATTCCAAAAACATGCATGGCAGGCTAATAGAGCACTCTAAATTGTCCCTATATGTGAGTGTAAGTGCGGATGGTTGTTTGTCTTTGTGTGCCCTGTGATTGGCTGGCCGCTTACTCCTGGAAGACAGCTGGGATAAGGCTCCAGCACGGCCGTGACTCTCGAGACGATAAGGGGCTCGGATAATGGATGGATGGGTGTATGGATATATATCGAATATTTGCTTTGGGATTGAAGTGGGCCCACACAGATTTCTGATGACGCTATAGCCCCCTCTTGTCCCGTCATAGCACCGTGCATGGTTTCAAAACTGTTTGGAGGATTAATTGAACAATATGTTTACCATTGTGTCTGTATTTTGCAGTGGTGTAGAATGGGATTGCGTCATACAAGGAGCTGTTTCGAATAAGTTTTTCCTCTCATGGAGCCAGGCAACAATGGCGATGTGCACCACCGAAAAGAGGTAACAGATGATTGACGGGATGTTCTTTCTCATTTTAACACACTTGTTATTGGCCCTTGCTACAAGCAGTTCATGGTATTCATTTTTAGTATGCTACTTTTACGACGATTCGACATCGATACCAACTGACACCACTACGAGACAGAGAACATGTCTTTGTCAGCGATGGTTGTCCTGAGATGCCTTACACGCCCTTTCCTGTTGACAATGTCCCGTCTGTCTCTTCTTTGTTTCCACGTCTGCTCCCACCTTCCCTCCCTTTCTTTTTTCGAAGCATCCCTCCACCCAACATCCCCCTGGTGACCAGCCTCTGCTCCCTCTCCTCCCAAATTTTCCCATGCAACTTCTCTTTATTACCAGTGCCCCCCTGGCTTCCTCCCACCGATGTTTTCAATTTACCACCACCATGAACCGGTTCACATTGTAACGTTATCAATTAGTCCGAGACTCCGCACATTTAACGGGCCCAGGAGTGAGCTTTGGTGATTTACTGGCTGCGAAGGAAATGGAAGGGAGGGATGTGCAGACATGGGCTGATACGAGGGGTTTTCTGTGGGAACCCAGTCAACGTGGTGCGTACCTTGAAGATTTGGTCCTGTGTGTGGTTTTTGGTCCCAGTTGGAATGTGGTTAAAAATTCTTAAGATGAAAAGACTTGTGAGAGGAAACGCAAGGGAAAGGAAAAACAGTGGATATTCTCCACAGGGTCAAATGGTTCTTCTTATACGTTATAGATTTCAACCACACACTTGGACATTCAGCTACTCTTTTTTTTTCTGCTGTACAAGTTGTATTCTGGCTGTGGAATTTGTAGCCAGCAAAGAGCATGCGGCACACATAGGGACGTTGGGTAAATTAGACCAATGGAGCATTATTGTTCTGTTGAACTTGAAAGAAGCCAAAGAGCCCCGTGTTCATTTGAGATTCATACATAGAGTCACAACACACAGTCCCTAATGTCATCCAAACCTGGGAGTTGAGTGACCTGATCTTCTCACTGACAATAGCTGAACACATTAAACAAACAATCCAACTTCATCTAATAGGTCCTTACAAAACAAATTAACTGCATGTCTGGTCAAAAATAAAAATATGGCCAAGACCATTTTGAAAGTAATGCCACAATAAACCAGCTTGCTTGAGAGTTTTATACTAGAATGTATTCAAAGATACATACCTGTATATACAATAAGTAAAGATGTACTGAATTGTTTGCATAGAATACGATGAGGTTTCTTGGAGTGAATGTGTGTGTGCGTATAGGTGCGTGTGTAATGGAAGGTCAGCGTAAATAAAACAACGTAAGAAATGAACCGTGTGGCCCGGTGATCCAGTGGTTAGCGCGTCAACCTCACAGTGCAGAGGTCATGGTTCGATCCCGGCTCCGGCCTTCCTGTGTGGAGTTTGCATGTTCTCCCCGGGCCTGCGTGTGTTTTCTCCGGGTACTCCGGTTTCCTCCCACATTCCAAAAACATGCATGGCAGGCTGTCCCGAGGTGTGAGTGTGAGCAAGGGTGGTTGTTCGTTTCTGTGTGCCCTGCGATTGGCTGGCAACCGGTTCAGGGTGTCCCCCGCCTACTGCCTGTAGATGTTTGGGATAGGCTCCAGCACCCCCCGCGACCTTTGTGAGGATAAAGCGGATCGATATATATTAGGAGCCGGGGTTACGCTGACAGGTCTGTCAGCGCGTGTGAGCGTCTGGGCATGAGTTGTGGTAGACAGCAGCAGTTTGCAAATGTTCTCATTGTACAGTGTATGTATGTGTGTGACTATTTGTCCCAAAACCCATTCAATAAATTTGCAAGTGCGGCTCCCCTTTCCAACATTCGAGGACATTCCAGCACATTCTTTGCTCCATTTCTTTTCACTTTTCTCAGTTGATGGCGGCACGGAATGTTGCTTTTACCCCAAACCTTGGCTCACAATTCAATGTATACATAAGGGTAAGGTGGGTGAGGAGGTGTGAGTGTGAGCAAGGGTGGTTGTTCGTTTCTGTGTGCCCTGCGATTGGCTGGCAACCGGTTCAGGGTGTCCCCCGCCTACTGCCTGTAGATGTTTGGGATAGGCTCCAGCACCCCCCGCGACCTTTGTGAGGATAAAGCGGATCGATATATATTAGGAGCCGGGGTTACGCTGACAGGTCTGTCAGCGCGTGTGAGCGTCTGGGCATGAGTTGTGGTAGACAGCAGCAGTTTGCAAATGTTCTCATTGTACAGTGTATGTATGTGTGTGACTATTTGTCCCAAAACCCATTCAATAAATTTGCAAGTGCGGCTCCCCTTTCCAACATTCGAGGACATTCCAGCACATTCTTTGCTCCATTTCTTTTCACTTTTCTCAGTTGATGGCGGCACGGAATGTTGCTTTTACCCCAAACCTTGGCTCACAATTCAATGTATACATAAGGGTAAGGTGGGTGAGGGGGGTAGGAACCGGTGTGTATTATTATCATCATCATGATCATGGTGATGATGATGATAAATATTATCCTGGAGTGAACTTATTTCTATTATTTTTTTAGAAATTTTTGAAAAATGTGTATCAATATGAAGCTGACCTAATAATTCAATAATTAATTCCTTTGTGAAAAACATGTCACACATATATGCCGATATACCTGTATAGCTGAAGGAAAGAATGATGAATACTAATTCACAGGCATGTGGACATTGTGTCAAATGTGCAGGATCGGAGAGCAGCAGATAGAGACGGAGAGCCGAGGAAGCGGAGGAGGGAGACACGCTTTGATCTTGCCGCTCGTCTGCCATGCTGTTTCCTTTCAAGGTTTGCTGGTAAGTTTCAGTAGACACCGCCAGGTCCGCTCCCAGGGATCAGACGCTAATGGATCAGTTAAAGGGGCCAATTCTTTATGGCTGGGCTAAGTGTTATCATGTGGGGTTAAAGACACTGACCATGGAGCAAACCCCTGTCAGATAGCTGCTCCTCTGGGGAATAATAGAAAGCCCTTTGGCAAAGTCAGGTTCGTGAGCGAAAGTGGCTCTCGCTTGGATCATCTGTCTTACTTAAAATGGAGTGCTCACTTATATTTTGCTCCTATCCTCTCCACAGTCACACATCAGGGAATTTCTCTCGAACGAAACCTGGGTGCTGTTGGAAACCATTTGTCAACCGAGCAAGACACAAAGCGGACGACAGATTCCAGAGGTTGAGGTGATCCCTTCCATGCAGCATTTCATCCTTGGGACCCGTCAGGGTATGTGTTCATAATGGGGGATGGGGAGGTTGCTTCAAATACGACACAGGACCTTCCAGATAAGATCACAAAGACAGACATAGCTCCTAAAGTGATCACTCGGCCTGTGTTTTTGTTTAACGGGTGAAGCGAGGGCTGGATTGGCAGCTCGTTGACTCCCTCTAATTTAATGTGATAGATTCAGTCATTAAGTTAATTGGCAGCTGGTTTTGATCACTGCAACCTGTCGCACCCACTCAGAGCGTTTATGGCATCATTTTTCTTGTCGAAAGTCAAAAGATCAGTGACCCTACACGAGCTCGTGAGATCACGCCCGGACGGTCGGTATATGTCGCAAAAGCCGTTACATAAGAGGAAGCATTGAAAATAAAAGTGTTTTCATGTCAGACAAGAAGAAAAAAAAGGAATTCAGGCTTTTTCAGAAGTATAACTAGAATAGCACAAAGTAGAGCAGGGAGAGAGAAGGGGAAAAAAAACAAAAATCAGGATGCTACGTATGTGTTTGTTTGCCTGACCACACTGCGGCAAGCAGCATTTTCAGCAATTAGCCGTGTGCGCTTCGTCAAATATGAAGCCAGAGATAGAGGACGCTCTCCTGCTGACTGACAGTTACTCCATGGTGCAACCTACATTCTTACCATCAAGACAACATAAACAACAAGCTCCCGACTCAGTAATGTTCCGTTTCCTCTTATGGTGAATTTGCAGCGGCATTAATGTTAACGCCTCAAACGCGTTTTTTTCGAGTCTTGTGCAAGGTTTGGAGAATGGACGTTACAGCCACCATTTTTGAAGGGTGGGTTGTCAGTATGTGTCCTGTGAATGACTGCCAATCAGTCCGGGTTGTTCAGCGCACGTTGTCCCAAGTCAATTAGAAAAGGCTCAAGCTCACCCGCAAGCCTGATGAGGACAAGCTCAATCCGAAATCAATGGATTGATGTGACAACACACATGCGATCACTTAACAAATGCTAATTCACAATTCTTGCATTCTCCATTCACAACTCTAGTATGAGAGAGAATAATTCCTTATTGTTGCTTTCACTTCTACTGCCAGTTGTTAAATCTCGGAAAAGTCCGCTTGGAGGCTGACATTCAGTGAAATAGAAGAGGGGACCAATGCGAAAAGAGCCGATAACACGTTTCAAATTGGCCAGTGGTTATAGATTGGTTTACAAGGCTGGCTGCTGATCAGCCTGGTGGCGTTCACCCCCGCCCCGTGTTGATAAAGCACCAGGGAGTTGTGGGTCAATTAGCCTGCACAGCCGAAATTCCTGCAGACAGCCAATTAAGGCCGCTGGCCCGAAGTCATGCCGCCTGCTCTTCCTGTTGACGGCTCATGCTGTAAAACTTAAATCTAGTGCTATTTATTAGGAGAGTGCTTTAGGAGTTCATGTGGGCTTCTGAAACATTGGAAGAGTTGTGCAATCTTTTGTGCCAGGAAAAAATATCTATCTATATATACAGTATATCTATATACTGTATATAAACAAAATCAAACTTCAGTAAATCAGAAGCAGGCTGCACGCCAGCAAAGGCACGGACATGACTGTCGGGCAAAGTGGTGCCGGGTGCAGACGCGAGATGACAAAAGAGCTTTGCTGGGAATCAAATCACGAAAAGTACACCCCCCTCTTTTTTTTTTTTTGCTTCTAAGCACCAATGAAAATCAGACTTGCTGTCACTTCTATTGTTTAGCATGCCAGAATTGTTGATTTGATGATGTGATATGAATGCAGCGTAACAG